CGTGAGCCACCAGCGCCCGGCTCTTTCTTTTTTTTTGTCAGTCGTGGGGCTTGAACTCTGGGCCTGGGCGCTGTCCCTCAGCTCTTCAGCTCAAGGCGAACGCTCTACCACTTGAGCTACAGTGCCACTTCCCACGTTACCATTTTCTACTGAGGCAACATATGTGTTACTTTACAAATTTTAGGAAAATACTCTTTTGTATATCAGAATACAGTCCCTGCGCCAATATGAACACAACTCTGGATGAACTGGTATGGAATAGTCATGAGGTGACTGTCATCATCAATATCCATTCTCATCCATTCCACCAAAGTAGCTACTATTAAATTTGAGTTTACATGGAGATGCTATGAAAGATTTATTCGTAAAACAGACCTAGAAATTGGCAAAAGAATTTCCCAAATATTCATTGTGGAAATTTTATCCCAAAGACTCAATTTTCTTTAGAAAATATTCTGATGTTATCAAAAAACTCTTGAGAGGTGTAGTCTGTAGTGAAAGAATTGAAAAAAATTACTTCTCCTTGAGTAGATTAATGTTTGCCTCACGAAATTAAAATATTTTCCTATATTGACAAGAGCATTCCTTCACATTTCTGTCAATAGCAACTCCATACCAGACCAAAAAAAAAGTTGTAAATTCAAGGTTTCCCTTGTTTCCACATTTTTTAAATTGAAAATAAGATGAGCGGGGGAGGTGTGTAATGGTTACATAGGTAAGACAATAAGTACATTTATTTTTAATCGTTGTTACAACATCTTTATCTCCCACTTACCTCTCCCTATCCCCAAATCAAGTTGTAATGTTCATACCCAACATAGTATCAAGTGAGTATCAGTGTTACTGTGGTTCATAATTGTTCTGCTGTTTCTGTTAGTCCCTTTCCCTTTCCCATAATATATACATTGCATGGATATTATACAAAGTATGAGGAACAAAAACCAAGAGAAATGAAGAAAGAAAAAACAATAGAGAAAAAAGAACCAACAGTATTCAGGGTCTAATGAGAACATCTTGCTGCCATAAGTTGGAATTCTTGTTAATATGCTTCAATTTATATATCGTCCTTTGGACTACACACTTGGGTTGTTGAGATCCCCTGTTAAGAATATCATATACATATTCTAGTTCTTACAAATGAGGAGCTCATGCAACCTCATTTCTTTTGAGTCTGGCTTACTTCATTTAATATAATTTTTTTCCAATTTCCATTTCCTTATGTGTAGAACAACGTTATTCTTTCTGATTGAAGCATAGAATTCCACTGTGTATATATACCACTTTTCTTGATCCATTTATCTACTGAGGGGCACTGGGGTTGGTTCCATGTTTTGGCTATGGTAAATAAGGCTACGATGAACATCGTCATACTGGTGGGTTTAGTGTGGTCTTGTTTGTGGTCATTTGGGTAGATTCCCAGAAGTGGGTTTCTGGGCTATAGGGGAGCTCTATGTGTAGTTTTTTGAGGAACCTCCACACTGCTTTCCAGAGTTGTTGAACAAGTTTGCACTCCCACCAACAGTGTAGTAGCATACTCTTTCAGTCACATCCTTGCAAGCATCTGTTGTTAGATTTCTTGATTAGGAACATTTTAACTGGTGTAAGGCAGAATCTCAATGTTGTTTTGATTTACATTTGTTTTCTAGCCAGAGATATGTCTCTGGCCACTTGCATTTCCTCTTCAGAGAGGTTTTTCTCAAGGTCTTTAGCCCATTTTTTAATGAGGTGGTTGTTTCTTTGGGGGTTTGATTTGGTGTAATTGAATTTCTTGAGCTGTTAGTATATTTTAGACATGAGACCCTTGTCTGTTGTATGTGTGGTGAAGATCTTCTCTCACCCTGGTGGGTTTCAATATATTTTGCTAGCTATGCCCTTTGCTGTGCAGCAGCTCTGCAATTAATGTAATCACATTTATCCAGCCTTTCTTTTATTTGTTATGTTTCTGGATCTTTATTAAGAAGGGTTTGTTAGGTTTTTTAAAAAGAGGTAGCCGAGTAAGAACAGCACCAGCACGCATGTGGTATTCAGGTAAGGGGTAGGTTTATTCAGTAGATCTGATGGGACCAGGCAAGGTTGGCACTCCATGTGGCTGGGAAAGGCCTGGGAATAAGAGAGAGCTGGGAAAGAGGAAAGAGAGAGAAAAGAGCTAGAAAAGAGCAGAGAGAGGGGTAAGAACAGTAGCACTCACGTGGTATTCAGGTAAGGGGTAGGTTTATTCAGTAGACCTGCTGGGACCAGGCAAGGTTGCCACTCCACGTGGCTGGGAAAGGAAAGAGGAAAGAAAGGAAAGAGAGAGAAAAGAGTTACAAAAGGGAGAGAGAGCAAAGAGAGCAGAGAGCTAGAAATGAGCAGAGAGAGAAAAAAAGAGGCTGGGCCTAGGCTAGGCCTTATCTAGGGTATGGGCGGGGAAAGGTGTGGCCACATCAAATTCAGATGTGACCTCAGCGGATGCAGATGTGACTTCTTCCAGGTGTCCCAGTTGCCTAGGTAACGCAGGTACTGGGTGGAGACTTTGCTGCGAGGAGGGTAGAGTCTGCTGGCCATCCAGGAGCGGATCTTACACTCCATACATTGAATTCTTGACTGCATTTTCCACCTCATCTCATCATTTGTCCACCCCTGTTCTCTTGACCCTACTCCACCCAAAACTCTTCTACTTAATGCTTAAAACATTTCTAATTCTAAGGTGGGTGCAGGTGGTTGATGCCTGTAATCCTAGATATGCAGGAGCATAAGACTGCGGATTGAGCTTCAAAGCTAGCCCAGGGAAGAGAGTCCTTCAGACTCTTATCTCTAATTAACTACCAAAAAGCCAGAAGTGGAGCTGTGGCTCAAGAGGTATGAAGAGCTCAGGGATGGTATCCAGGCTGAGTTCAAGCCCCAGGACTGGCACAGACACAGGAAATTCTACCTTCTAAATGAAAGGTTAAAACTGATATTTCAATTTTTTTTCTTTTGAGTAGTAAGTATTTGTACTTAAAAGAAGTTCAAAGCATTTCCCATTTGGAATAGTTAAACTTATTTTTTAAAATTAACTATAAATTTGCCTTTTGATAGATAAAATAAGGCCTGTTACAAAAGATGATTTTAGGTACAAATGGCCATAATTAATCTGTTTCCAATAGGACCTAAGGAAAAAATAACAATACAATACTAAACGCTTATACTCACAGTTAAGATAAACTATATAAAAATGTGTAATTGAGTAATTTCCACCATATATTCACAATGACTGATTTACTTTATAATAATATTAATAGTTATATTAGTAGATTATAAAGTCCATCAAATGTAGATATTCCCTGTTATAGACCTTTGACAATATTTTCATATTAAAATATCCTTTCTTGATTCCTTATCTAACGAGTTGGAAACTGTTCAATTTGATAATCTCTTCAGTTTTTCTAAATTGTCCACATCAAGGAGAAGACTCATCTGTCTTTGAATTCTGTAGGAATCAAGCATGTTATGACTTGACATTTGAGACATCAAATAATATTTTCTCTACATAACAGGTTTTATGGAGATATATAGGCAAGATACCAGATACCTTACGATATCCCAGAATGACCTCCTGGTAAAACTCAGGGGAATAGTCAGTAAAAATATGGAAAAAAATCACATCATGAAGATAATAGTTCAACAGGAAACAAATGTATTGAATATTTATTATCTCAAGCCTCTAACAATAACATGGACATGTCTATGTTTTTAGTAAATAAATAACAAAATTGTCATGCTAGGGTACATAATCGCATTCTTCCTGGGTAGAGAGGCACTTTGTGAATATCCCTCCTTCTCACAGTTCACTTTTCCTTATTTTTGAACTGCAACAGAATTTCAAATGTCATGGCAAATGACCCCTTTCCTTGAAGTACTAGAAGCCCTGAACTTTTCATAGTGATAAACACACAAACATTATTGTGAGGTGGTAGCACGTTATTTGATGAAGCGTAGCCAGTATTTCCTTTCATACCAGCACCCACCACAGCCATTGCATTCCAGCAATCTTTGGATGCCCTTGTATCACACTCCATGACCTCACTAGTTCCTCATGAGAACATACTACAACATGTCTCCCAGACTTTTCTTCAATTGCCACGTACTACATCTTTCATACAAATATTTTTGTGAAAGCATTTGGCTTTCGTTCTTCTTTTGTCAGTTCTTTTCATTTTTCAAGTCTCAGAGCCACACAAAATGCATTCACTGAATCATCCCTTGTCTCTCCAGTGAACTTTGGTGCTTGATGCTCTGAGGATTAAAATTCAGTGGAGCTTCATGACTAAAGTGCATGCTATGTTGAGAGCACTCATTGTATTGTACCATTCTCATTTCATTCCTAAAACATTCTTTGTTTTCACACAAATGCAAGTCATCCAAAAACCAAGGCCTTTATCACTCATGGTGGAACCAACCATGTCTATGAGGCCATCTACCATGGAGTACCAGTAGTAGGTATTCCTTTGTTTGCAGATCAACCTGATAACATTGTTCGGATGAAGGCCAAGGTAGCAGTTGTGAGGCTGCACTTTAGCACGTTGTCCACTGAAGATCTTCTCAATGCCTTGAAGACAGTCATTAACAACCCTTCTTGAGTATAACTTTTCCAGTAGACAGTATTTAGAGAAGCATTCATCAGTCACAATGCATCTCTTCCCCTTTCATAGGAGGCTTATTATTTAATAATTTAAATGAGCTTATTATTTGTATTCTGTTTTGTGGTTTTGTGGTTTTTGTTTTGTTTTGTTTTTTGCTTTTTTTGTCATGCAGCTTGAATTCATGGCTGTCCCTTAACCTTCTTCATGCAAGGCCAGTGCTCTACCACTTTGAACTTCTGGTTTTCTGGTGGTTTTGGAGTAAGATTTTCAGGTACTCTTTCTAGATTGGCTTTGAACCATGATTCTCAGATTTCAGCCACCTTAATAACTAGAATTACATCCATGAGCCATCAGCACGCAGCGTTGTGGTATGCTTTTATTTTCAACTAGAAAGTTGAACTTGTTCTCACAAATTAACTAGATAAGCAATTGGTGAAATCATTTCTATATGTCAAATATTGTTGAAGGTAAACAACTATTTGTAATGACTATCATCAAAATATGACATAATCTTCAGAAAAATGATAAACTTGGAGATAAAAAGATTGTTTAATTTGTTATCTAAAATATCTCATTCTAATAATCTTTTTTTTCTTTTCTTTCTTTTCCTGGGGCTTCAACTCAGAGCCTTTTACAATGTCTCTGAGCATTTTTACTTAAAGCTATCACTCTACAACTCCACTTCTACCATTTTTTGGTGGTAATTAGAAATTAGAGTTTTAGGGACATTTCTTCCTGGGCCAGCTTAGAACCAACATCCTCAGAGCTCAGACTTTACAATCATTTCATATTTTAAGGTTTGGGAAGCTGATAAGACAACTAAAAGATCTCTGACTGTTGACCTTAAAGTTACTCCCTCAGTAATAATATAAAAGCAAGCTTCATGATCTAACAGAGAAGAATTATAATTTTTAAAAAGGGAGTGAAAATTAATAGTCAAAAAAGAAAGACTGACTATATGGCCTAGGCAGAGATGAAGTGACAAGAGACCACTGACAATATTACATTTTTAAAGTTTTCAAGTTCAAGAAGAGAAATAGATTATTTTGAGCAAGAGATATTTTGAGCAAAGTAATACTATCATTTGAACAGTTATGCAAAATCTAACTAAATCTCTGCATTTAAAAATAAAAACAATAAAAGGCAAAAGAGAAGAAAAAGATTCATCAGGATGCCTTTCACTTACTAGGACAGGATAGATCTTTAAAAACCTTCATAACATCTCAAATATTGCTCAATTAGAGTATCCACTTAAAAACAAAATATTTTATGTGAGCAAATGAAAATAAACACTGGGATACTAGGTCCATTTGCTTTAACTTGCATTATTTATATTTCACTTTAATATACTTGGTTAGACTTAATATTTTCAGGAAAAATAAGTCCCTTTAAGATAGGTATCTCTGTGTTTTCTTTTAGCTATAAAGAGAATGCAATGAGGTTATCAAGAATTCACCATGATCAGCCAGTGAAGCCTCTGGATCGAGCTGTCTTCTGGATGGAGTTTGTCATGCGCCACAAAGGAGCCAAACATCTCCGCCCAGCTGTCCATGAGCTCAACTGGTTCCAGTACCACGCTCTGGATGTGATTGGCTTCTTGCTGGCCTGTGTGGCAACTGCTATCTTCATCTTCAAAAGATGTTGTCTTTCTTGTTACTGGAATTTTACTGAAAGTGGAAAAAAGAAAAGAGACTAGTTGTGTCTAAGTTGAACCTGGTAGTTATGTTAATTATTCCAGCAAGACAAATTTATAATAGAGTAGGTTCTTTCCTACCTGTGGCAAGACAAACTTTAACTGACTTGTTCTAGTCAGTCAGATTTTGAAATTTGTAGCTGAATGTCAGAAGTGAACTTCCACATAATTTTCTGAGCTTAACTAAGTTCCTAACTTTTATGTGGACATAAGACCATTAAAAAATCCCCTCATGGGGGCTGGGAAGGTGACTCAGTGGTAGAGTGCTTGCCTTGCATGCATGAGGCTCTGGGTTCGACTCCTCAGCACCACATAAGCAAAAAGAAAAAAGCCGGAAGTGGTGCTGTGGCTCAAGTGGTAGAGCGCTCCCCTTGAGCTGAAGAGCACAGGGACAGCTCCCAGGTCCAGAGTTCAAGCCCCATGACTGACAAAAAAAAATCCCCTCACAATATGAATAGGTTTTGAAAATATTTAACCTCCTTTAACTTCATTTTAGAGTAACATATTGCATTTTTAATTTTTTTTTAATTTTTATTGTAAAAGTGATATACAAAGGGGTTGCAGTTACATAACTGAGGTAATAAGTACATTTCATTTTTTATTGTAAAAATACTCTACAGAGGGGTTACAGTTACATGAGTAAGGTGCTGAGTACATTTCCTATTGAACAGTTACCTCCTCTTTTGTTTTTCCCTACTTTCCTACCTCTCCAACTCCTCCCTCCCTCCCCACAAGTTGTAAAATTTGTTTTCAGCATTCTGTCTTGAACATCTTATTGTTACAATGGGTCAACCTGTATCCTTATTTCAGCATTTTGTTACTTCCCGTCCCCTCCCCCAATTAGAAAAATGTATATACAAGATGCAGGGCACCAACATCAAATACAGTGAAAATGGGTTATACCATGGGGTAAGAATATATAAGAGAAAAAAGGACATTTCCTTTTGAACAGTATTACTTCCTCCCTCGTTCTCTTTTCCTTCTGTTCTTTTTTTATTGATATTTTGAAGCTTTAAAAAAATTATTTTGCCAATTCAGCCTTTCTCTGGGTTTAGTTGGACCCTGAGGAAAAAATAAAATATTTCAAGTTCACATTAAAAGGTACATTCAAAAGAATTCTAGCCTCCTAATTATATATCATTAATATTATGAACAGAATAAAATCCAGAATAAAATACAAATTTAAAGTGGTGAAATCTCTGAGTATGCATTCGGATGAACCTAGTACCCTTTTATGTATTTTACATTTTTCTTTCAAACTGTTTTTTTACATTCATAAGGTTATCCCAGAAGAAGAAAAAATGTCCTGATTATTGATCATTATGCAGACAGAGGCTGTATTACTTCACTCTGCAGAGATTTACCAACTGCAACATCAATAGAGGAGCAGTTTTAGTCAAGTGTGTAATGAAATGAAACATTCATCCCAAGTTACTTTCAATGGTGATACAGGTCACTAGGCTCACATCACAGCTCCATGAGTCACAGTACTTTAGGCATCTTTCTATAAAGTAATATCATCAGGGCAGATCCCATGTCAAAGAATGTTATAGACAGTAATAATATAGTCTGTCTGGTCATTGTTTCAATTTTTTTTTTTTTTGGTTGTGGGGCCTGAACTCTGGGCCTGGGCACTGTCCCTCAGCTCTTCAGAGCAAGGGTAAGGTTCTAACACTTGAGTCACAGCACCACTTCTGGCTTTTTCTGCTTATGTGGTGTTGAGAAATCAAACCCAGGATCTCATGTATGCAAGGCAAGTACTCTACCACTGAGCCACCTTCCCAGTCCTGTTTCAAATTTTTATCCTACAATTTTTTTTACAAAATAGTTTCAAATATAAACTTTACAAAATTAGCTAGGATTATAAAGTGTACATTTAATGTTCAAAGGTTTGGTCATGATTTCATAGGAAAAAAAGACTAAATAATGAATATTAGATGTGATCATTGATGATTGGACCTTTCAGAATGCCAAAAAATTGCTTTCTCTAAATTTCTCTTTAGAGGGAAGAGTACTATAGTTTGCATCTTGTATGTCCCCTTAAAGACCTGTATGCTGAAAACCCACCCACTCACTGACTTTTAGCATTATTGGTTGGTAGCATAACTTGAAGGAAGAGAGGTACAGAGCAAAGCAGTCATAACACAAGAAATGTGCTGGTGACTCACGCCTGTAATCCTAGCTACTCAGGAGGCTGAGATCTGAGGATCGCAGTTCAAAGCCAGCCTGGGCAGGAAAATCCGTGAAACCCTTATCTCCAATAAACCACCAGAAAACCGGAAGAGGCACTGTGGCTCAAGTGGTACAGCGCTCGCCTTGAGCTGAAGAGCTGAGGGACAGTGTCCAGGCCCAGAGTTCAAGTCCCATGACCAACAAAAAAAAAAAAAGAAAAAGAAAAGGAAATGTGGCCCTGAGGGGGATATTGGAAACCTATCTGCATGCTGTGTGCCTTTGGGTTTCCAGCCTTAACCTGAGGGACTGGCTATGGTGCATATTCCCAATATTACATCCTCCCTCACCACAGTCCCTACCCACCCAAAAAACAGAATTATGAAGCAAAATAGAATCATGCCATGTCACCAGAATCATGCCACGTGACTGTGCAGTAAAACCTCCAAAACTGTGAACCAAATAAATCTTTTCCACACACAAACTAATTACCTCAATTATCTTTACAATAATGGAAAACTGACTAACACCTAGTGGGAGGACTAGTTGAACAATAAAGGACAATCCTTGTACAACTAACAATATATAGGCGGTGGCATGCATTGGGAACCCAGAACGAGAGTAGTTCTCAAACCAGTCCAAGCAAGCTAACTTTGGGGGCTTTCAAAAATGATGTAATTTAATCAAGAGTTTGTCCACATCTATACGGTTGTCCACATCTATACTTTTAGTTGGGCTTTTCCCATTGTGGTATAAGATTCCCCTGTAAGACACAGAAAGGTCATAACAAGGCTGTCTTGCAGCCGGTTATATGCAGCATATTCTTCTGGGCCATTAATTTAGTATAAGGAAAAATGGCATGGTCAATGATTTATGCAATGGAATCCTTTAAGCATGTAAATATACATGTAAACATCTGGATTATAAACAGGACACTTTGGTCTAGTGTTTCACTGAAATATTAAATTCTAGCACCATAAACTAGAAAAAAATCAGCAATTCTTGACTTCCTAACATTAAGAAATAACATAAGAGATATGTTGACATTCTGACAAACATTAAAATAAGCTATAAATGAATATAGAGCTAGCTAAAAGAAACAAAGTTCTCATAATCATTCAAATGTAATATAATGTATAAGCTAAAATAATTCTCCAAATAACCACATACAATCCCTTTCAGCATGTGTTAAGATCCAATGCAATGTCTGCATTCAAGAATTTAAAACAATAAAGTATTTGTTTACACTGAAATGGTTTGTAAAACATTGTCTTGGCTTGACTATTCTTCAATAATGTGAAAGACCAAACTACCCACCATTTAAAGACAATTAGGTAAACATTATTAAAGACTAGAGCCATATTTGTCTCTACTACTCACATTGTGCTTGCAGTAAAGTAATGCTAGAGTTTGAATTATGACTTGTCCCTTCCCAAGATTATGTTAAGGCTTGTCCCTTTATCTGAACAGTGGTGAAAGGTATTAGAGATGTGACTTGGCCTTTTAAAGGATTCATATATCTTCCAGTAGAAATTACATCTGGCAGGATTAGAATAAAACTGCAAGAACAGGTTGTTATAAACCAATATCACCCTACCTATTGGGCCTCCTTTGCTTGTGTGCTATTTCCACTACATGCCTGTGGTTAAAAACAAAACAAAACAAAAAACCCTTAAATCATAATAGTTACAAAACATTTTTCCAACCACATAATTATTTCATCTACATTCCTAGGAATCTACATTTCCTATGGAAAAGAGACTCCCTGATTGCCACTTATTTCCACACTACTCTAAAAGATAATACATAACTAATAATAAACAAAATACATTTTGATTTATAATGGGTTGTATCATATATAAAAATAAAAGGTTCTAAAACCTTTAAACATCAGGGTCATCTAAGTTTTTATGTCCCTCTGCCAAATACATGATCAGATTATACTTTGGATTGCAAGTGACACGTTAATCTCTAGGTTGATTTATCTTTAGAAACCAAAACTGAAAATAAACAGTAGGGCTGGGTCTTAGTAGCTCATGCCTGTAATCTCAGCTACTCAAGAAGCTGAGATCCAAGGCTCATGGGTGGAAGCCTGGGCAGGAAAGGTGAGACTCTTATCTTTTAGCTAGCTCTTATCTCAAATTAAGCTCTAGAAAACCAGAAGTAGCAAATCACTAACCTTGAGCCAAAAAGCTCAAGGACAGCACCCAGGCCCTGAGCATAAACACCATGACCAGCAAAATAAACGATGAGGTTGTAGTAAGATTGTATGTGCAATGCATTATCATCTTCTACGGAGGCAAAATATATACTATTTTAACTCTACAAGTTCTAGGAAAATATTCTTTTGGCCATCAGAATACAGTCCCTGAACCAATATGAGCACAACTCTGGATGAACTGGTATGGAATAGTCATGAGGTGACTGTCATCATCATCTATTCTCATTCATTCCACCAAAGCAGCTACTGTTAAATTTGAGGTTTACTCTCTATCTTTGTATGGAGATGCTATGAAAGATTTTTTTATAAAACAAACTTAGAAAATGGCAAAAGAATTTCCCAAATATTCATTGTGGAAATCTTATCCCAAAGCTTCAATTTTCTTTAGAAAATGTTCTTATGTTCTCAAAAAACACTGGATAAATGTAGTTTTGTAGTAAGAGAAAATTACTTCTTCTTGAATAGATTAATTCTACCTTAGGAAATTAAAATATTTTCTTGTATTACCAAAAGCATTCCATCACATCTCGGTCACTAGCAACTCCATGTCAGAGCAAAAATAGTTGTAAATTAACGTTTCTCTTGCTTCCACATTCTTTGAATAATATCACAAACTTTAACTTTGTTGTTGTTGTTGGTTGTGGTGCTTGAACTCAGAGCCTGGGCACTGGCACTGAGATCTTTTGCTCAAGGCTAGTGCTTGACCACTTTGAACCACAGTGCCACTTCTCCTTTTTTGGTAGTTAATTGGAGATAAGATTTTCCCAAAGTTTCCTGAGTTTGAACAGCAATCCTCAGATCTCAGCCTCCTGAGTAGCTAGGATTACAAGCATGAGCCACCAACACCTAGCTCAAACTTTATATGTTAAGGCCTAAAAGTATGATTGAGTTGATTTTTTAAATTAAATTGGCATTATTTATATCCTAATATGAAGCAAATGTGTTAGCAGTAGATCTAGGATTTGGACAAAACTCAAAACAATCAAAATTTACTTGGGGTATCAAGGTCAACACAATAGTTTACTAAATTGTAGGCATGATTGAGTAATCATGGAAAAGGATTTGTGTAACATGGGAGAATTGAGCTATGACAGAGTCCTTGAAGTTTCTAAATTTTTATCATTTACTTGTACACTTTAGAGCAAAAATGCACATTCACTTACTTATGATTATTAATACACAGATAGAAATATAGGAGCTGAATGTCTATCTACTAAATTTATTCTTATGTTTATGAATAATATGTAAAAAATATCAATATCACTGTATATAAAAATATGCACCTGTATATGTTTACTAACTGACTATTGAATACAACATCTTGCCTATATTATTCTACCATATTACCAGAAAGTACATGGTATACTCAAAAGACAGTTTTCTTATTGCCCAGCCTTTTATATTGTTTTCTCTATGCAAGGACACACACTACACTGAGACAACAAGAAAAGCCAAAAGATGGTTTATTTAAACCTACAAAGATTTGGAATTCCTTCACCTCTCCCAGAATGTTGACTTCATGAAACAAAAAAAACTTGCCAACCCACTGCCTAAGAGAAATCTATTCCTGCTTTCTTGGTTTCATTTATTCTTCATTTTTGTGCAGAGGACTCTGTATCTTTCACTAAAGGTAAGAGAGATAGGAACACTAGGGAAAAACATCCTGTCAATTACAGATTTCAAGATGCATATAGCCGCACAAGTGTCTGAATTTTGTTACTGTTAAAGGTGAAAGCAGTATCTTGCACCATTTGACATTCTGAGCAGGTATATAAAAAGAATCAGTCATTTATTCAAAATACATTTCAGTGGCAATGATATAATGGAGTTAAGTGCTGAGTGTGTAGAGAAAAAAGGTGATACAAAGAATGATGCAAGTAGTAAAAATATTGATCAAGATATATTGTGCTCAGAAAGTGATACAATTAATTAAATTGTTTTTATACTACTACTTAAAGATAATAAAAAGATTTTAAAATTCTGTTTACATTGGACAAAAAGTCTACTTAAAAGGAAACAGTATAGCAAATGATAAATACTGTTCAAAAAGTATTACTGCATGGAACAATGACAAGCCATAGAAATTGCCCAGGTTTCATTCATTAACTTGCCACCTACACAATTTGCAACCAATGCAATGATTAGACAATAATATGAGAGAAAGACTGTAGAGAGCTGCGAGAGGCTGCACCTGGAAGATGGCGCCGGCTTCCGCCCTCCGCCTTCCTGATGGCGAGTGCTCTCTGTGGTAAACAACTCCTTATATGGCTAAGGCAAAGAATCTGGCTTGCTTCTGCACACCTGGACCTAATTGGTGGTTCCCACGTGGCGTATCAGGGTTGGCTATCCAGCCGGTACTTAAGGCTGTGGGGAATTCTCCCTGGGGGTTGGGGTCAAAAGATTGCTCAAAGGTCCTGAATAAACTGCAGAGAGAAGAGTTTGGTGTCGCATCTTCCTTGCTGGTCGAGGCGGTAGCTACACGTGGTGGCCCGTTTTTTTAATGGGTTCTTTCCTCCTGGGCCTGCATTAAGGTTGGACTGTTGATGTCTTTCACAGATCGGCATTCACCTGCCCAGTGCTTCCCCTTGTTACATCTAGCCCAGGCTGCTTAGGCTGTTGTCCCTTTCCTGTTTCTATCACTTTTCCCTTTTCAGGGCAATTACACTTTATGTGTCCCATCTTGCCGCATTTTTTTTTTTTATTACAAACCCTTGTGTCGAGGGCTGACTTTCAATAGATCGCAGCGAGGGAGCTGCTCTGCTACGTACGAAACCCTGACCCAGAAGCAGGTCGTCTACGAATGGTTTAGCGCCAGGTTCCACAGGAACGTGTGTTGCGTGATGGGAGTGGGGGCAGTGCCCTTTCCGGCCACACCCCGTTTCCCAGGACGAGAGGCTGTCCGCACCGGACCCCAGTCCCGACGTACGGGCTACCACGTGTCCCTACCGCCTGGACCAGCAAGGAAGATGCGACACCGAACTCTTCTCTCTGCAGTTTATTCAGGACCTTTGAGCAATCTTCTGACCCCAACCCCCAGGGAGAATTCCCCACAGCCTTAAGTACCCGCTGGGTAGCCAACCTTGATACGCCACGTGGGAACCACCAATAGGTTCAGGTGCGCGGAAGCAAGCCAGATTCTTTGCCTTAGCCATATAAGGAGTTGTTTACCACAGAGAGCACTCGCCATCAGGAAGGTGGAGGGCGGAAGCCGGCGCCATCTTCCAGGTGCGGCCTCTCGCAGCTCTCTACAAAAGACAAGGAGTGACACACAGTCACAAGGACAGTTCCCAGAAAATCCAAGTGTGGCCAAACAGGATTAGGCTTAGTAAAGAGCAAAATCTAACTGGAAAGGGAAGCTTGACCTAGATATTTAGGAGGAGTTTGAAGCATCACCCCAGTGTTTGTGGGGCAACAATGAGTCAAACACAAGAGAAAGAGAGAGAGAGAGTGAGAGAGGGAGAGAGAGAGAAAGGATCAGATTTCCTGTTTTACTAAAAAGGAAACACTCAAAATGCATTTACTGTATTCTACTGCAATGGATAAAGCCATGAAAAGGGGAAATATTTAGACAGTAGGTACAGAGTTCATGCAACAGATGAACAGATGAATATAGACCAGCAGATCTGGGCAATGACTGTGCTTGTATAATACTAATCCCACATGGTGTTTTAGTTCAGAAAAAAAATAGTATCGATAAGACATTTAACACGTCCATGGCAAAAGTGATCTAAATTAATACTCATTATTGCCATTTTTTCTTATTTTGTTTCAGAGTATATTTATTATCATTAAATAGTAGTACAAAGCAGTTGCCTTCAAAAAAGAAGTTTATGAATACAGTGCCTCTGGTTTATGTGATCCCTTTCAACAATCTCATCCATCTTTCCAAACCACACCATGCCTCACTTTTCTCAATTTTCGGGTTATATATTGATTCCTTTTTGACATTTCCAAAAGTATACCTTTTCTTGTAGAAGATGTAAATTTATCACCTATTTCAATGTTTCAAAATACTAAAAAGGATGAATATTTGAAAATCATAATGTTCAAGTGTTTTTATAGCTAAAGCCTCTTATCAAATGCAAAATCTCTGCATTGTGCATGACTAGGTTTAACCTTAAGTTTTCAAAATTCACAAGGGAGCTGAAACAAACTATTCTTGAATATAGTCTCCTTGAATATAGTCTACTGGTATAGGTATGATGTCTACATCTACTACCAAAAGCTCTGTTTTGGCTTTTCTTTTGCAAGTTCTGGGGATTGAAATCAGGGCTCTGGGCACACATTTTAGGTCACAAAGCAAACTTGTCCAAATTCAGAAACATTTGAAGTTATGACGTGCATTCTTTCAGACCACAAGGGAATAAAATTAGAACTCAACACCAAGATCCACCAAAGAAAGTCCTGTAAGACATGGAGAATGAACAATGTTGAATCACCAGTGGATCATGGAAGAGATTAGAAAGGAAATTCAAATGTTCATGATATTCAACAAAAATGGACACACAAATTACCAGCTCTTCTGGGACACAGAAAAGGCAGTACTCACAGACAAGTTTATAGCTCTGAGTTCCTACATCAACAAATTGGAGAGGTCTGAAACCAACAATATAATGAGACATCTGAACCTCCTTGAAAAGAGCAGCAAGCTAAACCCAAATCCAGTTGATGGATGGAAAGAAATAAATAAAATTAAATCCGAATTAAATGAATTAGAATCCAAAAAAATAGAAAGAATCAACAAAACAAAAAGTTTGTTCTTCGAAAAAATTAACAAAATTGACAGACCCTTAGCAAATATTATCAGAAAAAGAAGAGAACACACCCAAATAAACTCAGAGATGAGAATGAAAACATCACCACAGAAACAACCAAGATTCCGAACATTATAAGGGAATACTTCTCAAACCTTTATGCTAATAAGTTGGAGAACCTGGAAGAAATGGACAATGTCCTAGCAAATATCGACATGCTGAAACTAAACCAACATGAGTTAAACCATCTTAACAGGATCATATAAAGCATTGAATTAGAAACAGTAATAAGAGACCTCCCATCTAAGAAAAGCCAGGACCAGATGGATTTACAGTGGAATTCTACAAAGCCTTCACAGCAGAACTCACACCAATACTCCTCCAACTCTTCAATGAAATTGAAAGAGAAAGTTCACTACTGAACTCTTTCTAAGAAGCCATCATAACCCTCATCCCAAAACCAGGCAGAGACTCATTAAAGAAAGAGAACTATAGACCGATTTCTTTGATGAACATGATGCAAAACTTCTCAACAAAATTTTGGCCAATTGACTTCAACAATTCATCCAAAAAATCATACACCATGATCAAATGATCAAACATGATTCATTCCAGGGATGTAAAGCGGGTTCAATATACAGAAATCAATATAATTCATCACATGAACAAGAGCAAGGAAAGAACCACATAGTTATCTCAATAAATGTAGAAACAGCATTTGACAAGATCCAACACCTCTTTATGATGAAGGCTCAGGAAAAACTAGGAATCCATGGAACATTCCTCAATACAATAAAGGCCGTATATGACAAACTTACAACCAGCATTATGCTCAATGGTGAAAAACTAAAGCCATTTCCTCTAAAGTCAGGAATGAGACAAGGATATCCACTCTCTCCACTTCTCTTCAATCTAGTATTAGAATGACTAACAACAGCAATAAGACAAGATGCAAACTTAAAGGGTATCCAAATAGGGAAAGAAGCAAAACTCTCCCTCTTTGCAGATGACATGATCTTGTATTTAAAGAATCCCACAAACTCCACTCCTAAATTACTCAAGCTGATTCAAAACTTTGGCAAAGTAGCAGGGTATAAAATTAACCCTCAAAAATCAATGGTTTTTCTGTATGCCAACAATGAGAAGAGCGCGGCTGAAATCAGGAAAGCAACTCCATTCGTAATAGCCCCACAAAAATAAAATGCCTAGGAATTAACTCAACCAAAGAAGTAAAGGACCTCTATGATGAAAACTTTAAAAACCTGAAAAAGAAAATCAAAACAGAACTTAGAAAGTGGCAAAACCTACCATGCTCCTGGATTGGAAGGATCAACATCGTGAAAATGGCAATACTTCCCAAGGCTATCTACAAATTCAATGGGATGCCTATCAATATTCCAACCTTCTTCATTTCCTTCCTTTCTTCAAGGAAATACAAGAGGCAATCCAAAAATTCATGTGGAACAATAAAAGACCCCAAATAGTAAAAACGATCCTTAATAGAAAGAACAGTGCTGGAGGAATACCAATACCAGATTTCAAACTCCACTACAAAACCATAGTGCTCAAAATGGTAGTGGTAGTGGCACAAGAATAGACCTGAAGACCAATGCAATAGAACCGAAGACCCAGAAATGAACCTACAGACCTATAGCCACCTAATCTTTGATAAGGGAGGTAAAAAAATAAAATGGAAGAAAGACAGCCTTGTCACTAAATGGTGCTGACAAAACTGGTTAAACACCTGTAGAAAACTAAATCTAGATCGTTGTATATCACCTTGCACCAGAATCAACTCCAAATGGATCAAAGACCTTGGAGTCAATGCAGACACCCTGAAAACATTAGAGAATGGAATAGGTCTTCTTGGCACAGGACGAAAATTTCTTAATAGAGACCCAGAAACAAAACAATCAAAGAAAGGTTGGACAAATGGGACTGTATGAAGCTGCAGAGCTTCTGCATGGCAAAGGACATAGCTAGCAAGATCAATAGAAAGTCCACGGACTGGGAGAAGATCTTCACTAGCTATACAACTGGACAAGGGTCTCATATCTAAAATATACTTGGAACTCAAAAAATTAAATCCCCCAACAAGAAATCTTCAAAGAAACAACTGTCCAATAAATAAGTGGGCTAAAGACTTAAAGAGAAACTTCTCTGAAGCGGAAGAAGGATGGCCAACGGACACATGAAGAAATGCTCAATCTTCCTAGCCATAAAAGAAATGCAAATCAAAATAACATTGAGATACCACCTCACCCCAATTAGAATGGCTATAATCAAAAACTCCAATAACAGCAGATGCTGTAGGGGATGTGGACAAAAGGGAACCTTACTGCATTGTTGGTGGGAGGGTAAACTTGTTCAACCACTTTGGAAAGTAGTATAGAAGTTCCTCAAAAGACACTGCATAGAGCTCCCCTATGACCCAGCAATCCCACTTTGGGGCATTTACCCAAATGATCACAAACAAGACCACACTAAAGCTACCAGCACAACTATGTTTATTGCAGCATTATTTACCATAGCTCAGATATGGAACCAACCCAGATGCCCCTCAGTAGATGAATAGATCAAGAAAATGTGGAATTCTATGCCTCCATCAGAAAGAATGACATTGCCCCATTTGTTAGGAAATGGAAAGACTTGTAGTAAATTATATTAAGTGAAGTAAGCCGGGCCCAAAGAAACATAGGTCCCATGGTTTCCCTTATTTGCAATAACTAGTATATGTCTGGGACAAGCAGAGAAGCTCAGATAAGATGCTTTTAAGTGAAATGAACCCCAACATAGGGCCACAAGTGTTTTTTCTTCCTTCTTATTGTTTCTAATGTATTTTATAAGGTACCATGTGAGTTTTTCTTGTTGCTTTGTATGTCCCTTCCTCATGGTATAACCCCTGTTTTCACTGTCTTTGATGTTGCTGTAATTTGGGGAGGGGAAGGGAAAAATAAAAATGTTTAAATAGAGATACAGGTGGACCCATTGCAACAATGAGATGTGCAAAATGCTATGTCTGTCAAAAAAGGAACTTTTCAATTTGGGGTGGGGGGCAATAGTTGAAGAGATGGGAGGGCTGGGATGGTAGGGGAAAAACAAAGGAGGAGGCAACAATGCTGGCTAAGGAATGTACTCATTACTTTGCTCTTGTAACTGTAACCCCTTTGTACAGTATTTGCACAATAAAAAACGTATTAAAAAAAGTGCATCAGGCCTTGCACAGATTCCACAAAAGGTAAAGTAAATCTCCCTCTGGTGGACACTTGTATAATTAATTTGCTAAAATGAAACATTTTCTATGTGAAAAGTAAGACAATTTACAAACCACAAATAAATTACATTTTTCAAAAACTCTATTGAAGACATTTTAGGCTACCTTTGTAGTACTTGAGGAAGGACCGTTAAAAAAAGAACCAATAGAGTAGAACTATGGCATAGGAAAGAATTTAAACTCCCAAACAGTAACTTCTTTTCTGATACATAGAAACCAGTTTAATACACTTGGGTAACTGAGCTTGTTATGGACTACATTTTAGTTACCTGTCTGATGCAGGTCACTTCTAATTAAATAAGTGGTGTTTTTCTGAAACACAGCTACATTAATATTTTGATTGGACAATAGAACATAATACTGGCAAATCATATTTCTGAGGATAGCTTGTAAATTAGAAAATCAGTTCATTCTTTTTATCATATGTATGAAAATAGTTTTATTGTATATTGAACTTTCTTAAAAAGCCTCTTTCAATGTGGTTGTTAAAATCAACATTATCATGATAGTATTAGCAAACTGTTGAACAAAATTTTCCAAAGTCACAATTTTTTCATTGACTATATTGTTATTAACCAATGTTCAATAAGGTTTTCTTTTTTCTTTTTTAGTGTTATGTTTAAATGGTTGTACAAAGGAGATAACAAAGAAGTTATGAATACAATGTATCTTGATCAATGTCACTCCTTTCAACATTCTCACACATCCTTCTCCTACAGACCCCTTCTCTTACTCTTCTTAATTCTGTAGCATATGCATTGCATTCTTGACTGCATTTCCCACCTCTTCTCCTCATCATTTGTGAAACCCTGTCCCCTTGACCCCACTCCTTCCTGAGATCTTCTTAATACTTAAAAATTTTCTAATTGAAATTGGCACCAGTGGCTGATGCCTGAAATCCTAGCTATTCAGGAGTCGGATGTCAGAAGATTGAGACAAGAAAGTCCTTCAGATTTTTATCTGTAATTTACCACTAAAAAGCCAGAAGTGGAACTGTGGCTCAAGTGGTAGAGTACCATCCTTGAGTAAGAAGAGCTCAGGGACAGTGCCAGATCCTGAGATCAAGCCCTGAAGTGGCACACACACAAGGAATTCTAAGTCTAGCTACATTAGTATCTTCCAGATTAAGGGTTAAAATAGGCTGGGAAGGTGGCTCAGTGGTAGAGTACTTGCCTTGCATGCATAAGGCCCTGGGTTCGATTCCTCAGCACCACATAAGCAAAAAGAAAAAAGCCAGAAGTGGCACTGTGGCTCAAGTGGTAGAATGCTAGCCTTAAACTGAAGAGCTGAGGAACAGCACCCAGGCCCAGGTTCAGGCCCCATGACTGAACCCCCCCCAAAAAAAAACAGTTAAAACTGACATCCAAATTGTTTTCTTGTGAGTAGTGCTTATTTGTATTTAAAAGTTGCAAGTGCTTCCTCCCTGAAATAGTTAAACTTATTTCTCAAAAGTAACTATCAGATTGCTTTTTGACAGATAGAATAAGGCAACTTACAATGACCCCTCTGTACAGTATTTTCACAATAAAAAACTTATTTAAAAAATAAAAACAAAAAATAAAGTACAAATGAATGTAATTAAACTGCTTCCAACATGACTCAAGGAGAAAAACAATACAATATTAAATTCTTACAATCAGAGGTAGGATGAACTATATAAAACAAAATATGTGTAATTTAGTCTTTCCACAATATAATCATAATGGCTAATTTACTCTAAAGTAATATTAATAGTTATACTTAGCTCATTATAAAGTCTATGAAATGTAGATATTTTCTGTTATACACCCTTTGGCAATACTTTTATATTAAAATGTTCATTCTTAATTCCTTACCTAACCTGTAGAAAATGTTCAGCTGGATCACTTCAATTCTTCTAAAGGGCCCACTTCAAGAGAAGACCTATCAGTGTCTTTGAATTCTGTAGGACACCAACATGCTATGACTTGACATTGAGATATTGAATATTTTCTCTACCTAGTAGGTTCTATGGAGATATGAGGGCAAGAAACCAGATACCTTAGGATCTAACACTTGGCTATACAAGTAGATCCCCCAGAATGACCTCCTTGGTAAGACTCAGGAGAATAAACTAAAAATGGGGGGAAAATGGCATATTATGAAGATAATAGTTCAATAGGTAATAAATGTTTGAATATTTATCATCTCAAACCTCTAACACTAATCTTTCTTTATGTTTTTAGAATGAGTAAATTACAGAGTTATCATGTTAGAGTATATCATCGCACTTTGCAAATGTCCCTCCACCTCCTATTTTACCTTTCATTATTTTCCAACTGTAAATGGATTTCCAATATCACTGAGAATAACCTCTTCTCTTGTATTTCTAGGGGCTCTGAACTTTTCATAGTGATAAATTTGCAAATATTATTGTGATGCACTAGCACATTATTCAATGAAGAGAGGCCTGTATTTCTAGTGACACCAGCCGCCCAGCCATCGTATTCCAGCATGCCCTCCATATCACACGCTATGACCTCACTAGATCATGAGAACTTGGTACACATGTCTCCCAAACTTTTCTACAATTAAACACATTACTTCTTTTATAAAAATGTTTTTGTGAAAACATTTGTTTTTTTTCTCTCCTTCTCTCAATCTCCTTTTCATTGTCTCAAGCCACACATAATGTTTTCACTGAGTCTTCCCTTGTCTCTCCAGTGAACTTTGGTTCTTGTTGTTCTGAGATTTAAAATTCAATGGAGTTTCATGACTAAAGTGTATGCTATGTAGAGAGCACTCACATTGAACACACTGTATTGTACCTTCCTCATTTCATTCCTAAAATATACTTGATCGCTTTGTGGAAATTCACTGAAATGTAGGTCATCCAAGAGACCATCTACCCCGGAGTGCGGATGGTGTGTATTCCTTTGTTTGTGGATCAACCTGATAACATTGCTCAGATGAAGGCCAAGGGAGCAGCTGTTAGACTGAACTTTAGTACATTGTCCACTAAAGATCTTCTCAAGGCCAGGAAGATAGCCATTAACAACACTTTGTGAGTATGACTACTTTTTCACTGGACAGAATTTAGACAAGGATTGTTATCACCAGTGACAATGCATTGCATCCCCTTTCCCAAGAGGCTTATCATTTAATAATTTAAATGAGCTTATCATCTGTGATCTGTTTTTGATTTCTGTTTTGTTTTGTTGTTTTTCTGTGGAGGGGCAAGGTTTGAACTCAGGGCCTGGAGACTGTACTTGAAATTTTTTACTCAAGGCTAGCACTCTACAACTTTGAGCCACTTCTGGTTTTCAGGTGCTTAATTTCCTGCCTGGATTGACTTTCAACCATGATCTTCAAATCACAGCCTCCTGAACCAGCCCCTGGATTTGTGATACACTGTTATTTTCAAGTAGAAAGTATTTCAGAGTTGCACTTGATCTCACAGAAGGTAATATCAGAGTTTCACTTGACATCAAATATTAATTCAATTAGTGAAATAATTTCTACATATATAAATAATGCTGAAGGTATAGAGCTATTTGCAATGACTCTACTTTCAAAATATGGCTTACTCTTCAGAAAACTTGTAAATTTGAAGATAAAGAAATTGTTTAATTGAATATCTAAAATGTTTCATTCTAATCTTTTTTTTTCAATTTTCTTTTTTCTGTTTTTGCCAGTCCTAGGGCTCAAACTCATTGCTTGCACAGTGTCTCTGAACTTTTTTACTTAAGCTATCATTCTATCACTTGAACCACAACTCTACTTCTGGCTTTTTTGGTAATTAATTGGAGAAAAGAGTCTCAGGGTCTTTCCTGCCTGGGCTGGTTTTGAACTAACATCCTCAGATCTCAGCCTCCTGAGTAGATAGGGTTATGAGTGTGAACCAACAAAATTTGGCTTCAATCAAATGATCATTTGCCAAAAAAAAATTCATTTTATTATGTTCACAGATGTAATTAATGATATATAAGACAAATACCCTAAAAGTTATATATTTAATTTAGAAAATTCAAATATATGTTATATATTACACATGTATATTGTTATGTATTCAATCTTATTTGGTTTTCAAGAGCTTTAAGCTGACAGTAGTACAGTTACTAAACAGATGCTCTACCACTTGAGTCTCAGAACAGCACAGATACAATGGCCAATTATAGCATAGCACAGATGGAAAGTCCATTTCAACTAATTGAATTTTTTAATTTGGGTGGTACTAGGGTTTATACTCTAATTAGTTAGGTAAGCACCTTCTTACTCAAGCCATGCTCCAAGTTTTATGAAACTTCTGTATGAAATAATTCACATAATTTTTTCTAATATACAATGCAACATGGCCTTATACTCATTTCCAGTGTTTAGGGTTGCTATGCTAATAGGATAACTAAAGGCTCTTGATCTTAAAGCTACCCCTTCAGTAAGAAGATAAAAAGCTTTATGATATAGCAGTGAAGAATTGTAAGGGAAAAGGAAGAGAAAATTAAATGTTGAAAAGAAAACCATTGACTACATGGTATGGGCAGAGGCGAAGTGACAAGAGAAAATTGATAGTTTTACAGATTTAAAGTTATCAAGTTCAAGAAGAGAATTTGATTTTTTGAATAGGAAATACTTTGAGCAAAGTAATATCATTTGAGCAGTTATCTAAAAACTTATTTTAGCTTTGAGGTTAAACATAAAAACAATAAAAAGCAGAAGGGAAGACTGGAAAGAGATTTATCAGAAAGCACTTCTCCTATGACAAGATAGATCTTCAAAAACGTCTTAACATCTCAAATAAATACTGTTCAATTATAGTATTCATTTATAAAAGCAAATATTGTATGTGGGCAAATGAAAACACTTAGGGTAGTATGTCCATTTGGTTTAACTTGAGTTATTTCTATGGCAGTTTACTGTACTTTGTTAGGATTAATATAGTCAGCAACATTAAATCCCTTTAAGGTAGGTGTCTCTGTGTTTTCTTTTAGCTATAAAGAGAATACAATGAGGTTATCAAGAATTCACCATGGTCAGCCAGTGAAGCCTCTGGATCGAGCTGTCTTCTGGGTGGAGTTTGTCATGCGCCACAAAGGAGCCAAACACCTTCGCCCAGCTGTCCATGAGCTCAACTGGTTCCAGTACCACGCTCTGGATGTGATTGGCTTCCTGCTGGCCTGTGTGGCAGCTCTCATCTTCATCTTCACAAGATGTTGCCTTTTTTGTTTCTAGAAGTTTACTAAAAGTAGAAAAAAAAAGAAGAAAAGAGACTAATTGTATCTATTCTGAAGCTCTGGCTGTTAATGATTCCAGCAAGAAGAGTTTGTCATGGCCTTCTTTCCTAGTGTGGCAAAAAAAAAAAAAAACTTTAACAACTTACTTTGTCAAAGTTTGTTTGCAGTGATTCACTTCCTGATTTAGACATGAAATATTTCAGCTCCATGGAAAAAGCACTTGGGAAAAAATTATAATGACTCCAAATGTATTGATTCTGAAAACTATTGGCAAAAGTCATACTAAATTTAAACTCACACAAAATTTTCTTACCTTAACTGAGGTTCCCAAGTTTTCAGTAGAAACTGTCAAAAACCTCCTCCTGATACATTGCATTTTCACATATTTAGCCTGCCTTGCCTTATTTTGGAGTAGAATGTGTATATTTTATTATTTCCTAATAAAATGTTCAACAACTAGGTTTGTACAAAAGGGTCACATTTTCCATTTGCTTCTGGGAGGTAATGGTTCTGCTCTCCTCACTGCACATCCAGACTCCACATCACCTGTCCATCACCAAGCCACGTTTATCTTACTCTACAAAAGGCAATATCTCAATGGAATTAGAAACATTTTTATCTACCTGTTTTTCACTATAAGGTTAAAATACTTTGGAATCCCTTTGATAGTTTTTTTTTCCTTTTTCCTTATAGACATTTATAAACATTAAACTGGATGTTTGCATTAGCATTTCAATTTCTGATATACATCCAGCCTCAACTGTTCAATTTTTCCTCTTCAGATGAACGCGCACACATAGATAGTCCCACTTTGTGCAGAGTGTGTTGTAAGATTCAGTGAGTTTGTTTATTGTTCTAAACTTACTCATTTTCCAATTCATGCCTCATATTCCCTTTTCCTCTGGAGTAGGAAAAAATAAAGTGGCTTAATGACATAATGAAAATTTAGAAAAATGGGAAATTGACAATAGAATTCTTCAATTAATTTTGGAGTAATTGTCAGATTTTTAAAAATATAAGCATCTCACTTCTGGTTGTTCATGACTGTCATCCTGATTACTCAGGGACTGATATTCAGAAGATCACAGTTTGAAGCAAGCAGAAAATCTATGAGACTCAATCTCCAAAATTACCAGCAAAATTCAGAGTTGAAGTCTTGATTAAAATGTCACATTGATAGCCCAGGAAACAAGATAACTGAATTGGAAAAAAGCCTGTGTTCAATCCCTAGTATTGCGCCCCCCCAGAAAAGAAAAAAAGAAAGAAACTACATAAGCCTGGATTAAATTTTTCCAAACCTATTGTGTAATGCTTACTAATTTTAATCAATCATGTAAAACTTGGAAGAATTAGAATCAAATACATGAACAATAAATTTTAAAAATATATTTCATAAATATATAATTCATAAATATATACATTTACATTAAATAAATATAAACAAATAAAATATAGAAAGATACCAAATAGAAATTAAGTGAACTGCGAGGTGCTGGTGGCTCTTAGCTACTTAGGAGGCTGACATCTGAACACACACACACACACACACACAGTGGAAGTAGAGCTTTGGCTCAAGTGGTAAGAGTTAAGGGAGGGCTGGGAAGGTGGCTCAGTGGTAAAGCGCATGCCTTGCATGCATGAGGCCCTGAGTTTGATTCCTCAGCACCACATAAGCAGAAAAAAAAGCCGGAAGTGGCGCTGTGGCTCAAGTGGTAGAGCACTAGCCTTGAGCTGAAAAGCTGAGGGACAGCTCCCAGGCCCAGAGTTCAGGCCCACAACTGGACCCAAAAAAAAACCAAAAAGCCAGGGACAGTGTCCAGGCCTGGAATTCAAGCCCCAGGAACTACATATAAGAAGAAAAAGAGAAAGGGAAACAAAGAAAAAGCGAGGGTGGATGGAAAGGGGAAACAAAGGAGGAGGCTACAATGCTTGATAAGAAATGTACTCATTATCTTGCCCATGTAATTGTAACCCCTCTGTACAGTATTTTCACAATAAAAAGAAAAAGAGAGGGAGTGGAGAGAGAAGGAAGGAAGGAAGGGAGGGAGGGAGGGAGGAAGGAAAGAGAGGAAGGGAGAGAGGGAGGGAGAAATTAATGTAATAAATCATCTTTAATATAAGATACATATTTATTTATTGTTATTGTAAAGGTGATGTACAGAGGGGTTGCAGGAGTATTTCAACAGGATTTAAAATACTGAATTTTGCAAGATGTCAAAAACATTCCACTCATTTTTAATACAAGGAAATGAAACGTTCTATCATCAAGGTGAATGAAATTAAAATTCTGAGTACACCTACACAACTGGACATGAGTCTCAACAACACAGCCACCTGCATGTTTAATAAAGACCTAGTGTTTCCTAGCACCTCTAACTAAAAAAAAAAAAAATACTGATTTTAGTAACCTAAAAACTGGTCTTAATAGCTGGGTGCTGGTGGCTCATGTCTGTAATGTTAGCTACTTAGGAGGCTCAGATCATAGTTCAAAGCCAGCCCAGGGAAGATCGGTTCTAGAAGACACTTCTTTCCAATCAACCATCCAAAAGCTGAAACTGGAGTTGTGGCTCAAGTGAAAGAGTGCTAGCCTTGAGTAAAAAAAGATCATGGATGTTCAGTCCATCCTGAGAAAATGACCCATTCCCCGTGTCTTTCCTCAGTGCCCACCTGGCCCCTTCCCTAGAAGCCCCAGCCCAGCATTCCTATTCCAGGTAACTGACACACCTGGGGACAGTGGGAGGTCCCTAGGTCCTACTGTCTTCCTTCCAGCCCACCTCCTTCCTGTCTTGTCACCTGCTCCTGGTTTTACCCCCTGGCGCCCTTGCAGCTTTTGCCTGGCCTCTTGCCCCTTTCTCCAGCTCCCTCCCCTCTCCCTTCCCCTGCATGCACCTCCATCTTGTGCAGGTCAACAGTATTTGTCCCCCAATAAACTCTTTTCTGCCTGAACGATGTGGCAGTAGCCTTTCGGCTGAACCTTACAAGGGACGATTGCCCAGGCCCTGAGTTCAAGCCCAAGAACCAGGGGAAAAAAATACTATAATTAAAAAAAAATCCTCATTTGTCATTAATAACAGCCAGAGTTTCGTCAGCAAATAGGATGGTATTTCTTATGAAAGAGCTCTAATATATCTTAATATCAACTTTTTAAATACACAGAAGATAAGCATTTTTATAATATATATTAATTTTGATACTTATTTCTTAATCCACAAAAGATCATCTTTTTCTCTCTCCTTGATGGACATAATATAAAACCGAGATCTTATCTCAGTAATGAAATCTATATTGAATGGAGCATTCGGGGGCTTTGTCTAATTGAGGAAGCTTCGCCACTGGGAAAGAAAGCTGAAAATACTGCACTTTCTAGTCATGCCCTGGGAAACAGGAGGTCTGTCCCCTCCTATTACCTCCCAGGGCCGCTCCTCCCTGTGGTTAATCTGTGCTATCTGGGGTTAATACTTCTTCCTAGGAACAGAAAAGTTGCAGACCAGTTCTAACTCGATGAAGGAACAAAGGCGGTGCAAACATGTATGTTCTTAGCTTTACCTTCTCAGGAAAACCCCAATTTAAGACTTTGTCCATGAGGGTTGCAGTCATACATATTCTTAAATTGAAGGGATTGGGGACCCAGGGGTGATAACCTTACACCTGCGCAGATCCCGTCCAGAAAACTTAATCCTGCATTTCCCTACAACCAGCCCCCTGTCGTTAGGGGGCTGTTGTTAGACTCTTCCCACACCCGAGCCTTTGAAGGCTGAAGCTGTAATGCGCTTGCGCTGGAGCCAACTGTTTCCCTGTGCTCTGAGCTTTCACTTTTAGTATTAAAATCCTTGCTTCTGCGTATGTGTTCTTCAGTTGCTTGTTTGCCATTCCAGGAATCTTGCGCTCTTTCATCTCTGAGACCACCCATAAACAATATCAAGACTTGCGTAAGGCCCAAGGGCCGAAAGGAAGGTTTGTGAACTTTATGTACATTCTGAAACTATTCTTTAAAAAGCTTGTTATTCATATTAACAGGAAGCATCAGTGTCGGTAGGGGACGGAGGGTAGAATGGTGGTAGTGTCAGCGGATGCAGGTGAAGGTTTGTGAAGTTTCCCTCAAAAAGGAAGGACTCTTCACTTAGAGTCCTTGACTTCAATCACAGAATAATAATTTCTGGACAAGTCACAATGGTAAGAGAACTTGGTGTAGCTTTATTGAGTAAGTAAGTGATGGTTTGTAAAGAGGACTCAAAGGATAGTTTACTGAAAATCTAAACTCAAATACCATCATGTCTAACCTATTGCTTTCAAAAGAATGTTTGGAGAAAGACCGAGAAATTCTGACAAAGTTTAAGACAACCCATAAAGGAATACAGAATTAAGACAGATATAAAATAATTTTAACCATAAGTAACTCATCTTTATCAATGAAGTGATAAATTTAAATCTTCAAACAAGCTGAACTTAATACAATCTTAGCAAAACTATAACGATAGGTAACCAAAAATGAGTTAAAATCTTATATAATACCTTATTTCAAGTCCTCTAACTACATCCTAAAGCAGCAGGTAAAGTAAAATAATACCTAACATGTTAACATATAGCTGCACAGTAATTCAGTCTCAGACAATCATAATATAAAATCATAAATATAAAAGTGATAGTACATAACTTTTACAATCATTTTTATTGCGAAAATACTGTACAGAGGGGTTACAATTACATGGGCAAGATAATGAGTACATTTCTTTTTTATGGTAAATTGTGACTTTATTTAGAAAGAGATTATTAATACTTTTTTATTTCTTTTGGTCGGTCATGGGGCTTGAACCTTTTTTAATTTTTATTTTTTATTGTGAACATAGTTTACAGAGGGGTTACAATTACATGGGCAAGATAATGAGTACATTTCTTATCAAGCATTGCAGCCTCCTCCTTTGTTTCCCCTTCTCATCCTCCCGGCGCCTCCCCCACCCAATCCTCCCCGCCCCTCCTTCCCTCCCACCAAAGTTGTAAAGTTCGTTTTGACATAACAACTTATACATCTCAACTTTTACA